GTGCACGCATGAGCGTTGGGTTCAAAGCAAGCTCCGGGCATGGAGCTGTGGGAGGGCTCAGGAGGGAGCCTGTGGACTCTGGCCAGGAGTGGGGGTGCTTCACAGAGGAGGATGACAGGTGAGTCACACCCTGAAGACTCTTGGGAATTTTCTCAGGCAGAGTAAAGGAGGAAGGGCAGGTAGGCAGAGGAGTCTGCACATGCAAAGGCCCAGGGGCAGGAAGAGCAGGTTGTGCTGTGGTGGTAGGGGGTTGGTTGGGGGTGGCAGGAGGAAGGGAGCATAGAAAGGTAGGCAGGGCCTTCTTTACTGACTTAAAGAGCTTAGTCCTTAGTCTATGGGAGCCATGGGAGGTTTTGAAAGAGGGCAGTCACAAAATTGGATCTGCATTTTAGAAAGATCACTGGGTTTGTAGACTGGATCCCAGTGGACGGTCTGGGAGTTCTTCTGAAATGTAGGAGGGGAAAGCCCACCTGGGCCAGGCTTCGAATACTGCCTGTTGCCCAGGGTACTCAGGGGAGACCTGAGGGGTCTGCCAGGCTGAACCCGGGCCCTCAGGGCTGGAGAAGCAGCGCCACCTACTGGTGTGCCCTGCTCCTGGACATCACAGGTCGTCTGGTTCCTTCTGGTCCCAGAGTGGGGCAGGTCAGCCCATGGCCCTCTGAATGAGGGGCAGTAAGGGACCTTTCTGGGGGACAAGCTTTCCCTCTGCTTCAAAGCCCAAGATCAGGATCTTGTGCAGATGTAGGGAGGGAAAATATTCCCTTGTGCCAAACAAACGCAAATTAGTATTGGTAGGTTCTGCCAATTCTGTCTGCGTTTGGATCTTAGTCCCATTACCTTCTGGCAGTGTGACCTTGAGAAAGTTGCTTAACTTCTCTGTGCCTCAGTTTTCTCATCTGTAAATTAGGATTAGTAGTAGTATCCACCTGTTAGGATTGTTATGAGTCAGCACATGGACAACACTCAGAACAGTGCCTGGTGCATGGTGAATACTCAAAGCTCTTATGATACCTGTTCTTATTTCCATCATCATCATCATTCAAGGCGTGGATGGAGGGATGCCTGGTGCATTTGCCTGGCTCAGGGACCGGAGGGGGAGGGACAGCCTATGGCTCAGGGGGCCAGAGAGCGGCCGTGTGAGCAGGACAAGGGCCTGCACGCATGGCTAAGCAGTCAGACCCTCCTGACCGCAGCGGGGACGGCCGAAGGGCGTGGGCCGGGAGGAATGAGGTCAGATCTGCATTTTGCGAACCCAGCATCTGTGCACGCTTCCTCTCTGGGCGCCTCGCACACGCACCCTCCCAGCGAGCCTCACGCCCCGCATCCTAGTCTCTGTGGTGTCCTCATGAGTAATGCGTGCAAGTCCATATCGTGAGTTAGGGGCAGAGCCCAAAGCCCACAGTCCAGGGCCCCATCCACCCCATGGGGCTGAGGTTATAGGAGGCACCCATCCGTGGCATGGGCTGCACTTGGCAGGATGTGAGCCGCAAGACACTTGACCCCTTCCCTGCCCTGCACGTCTGCCCCGGGTGGGGCTTCCATAGCCTTTCTGATCCCTCTCAGCCGGAGCAACGTCTTATTCCAGGAATCAGTGAAAAAATTGGCGTCTTTTATCTAAATTAAAGCTCCCTCCCTCTCCTAGCTGGGCCTGCTACCGGCTGGGAGATCTGTAGCAGGAAGGCGGTGTGAGGGTGTGAGCGTGTGAATGAGTGCCTGTGAGTGTTGAGTGTGTGAAAGCACGGGAGCGTGTGTGCGTGTGAGCATGTGTGCGTGTGTGAGCATGAAAGCACGGGAGCCCGTGGGTGCACACAGGAGGGTGTGTGTTTGACTGTGCGTGTGTGCTTATTATCACCTGTTTATTATCTACGTGTGCTCCTCGGACCCAGGCTCAGCAGCCCCGATGGCCCACCAGGCCACTTGCCATGGGATGACGATGGGACACAGTTCCTCTGTCTGCCTTGCCCCTCTGGCCTGCCGCAGAGCTTCCTGGGGGGCAGTCGAGAGTCTAAAGATCTGGGTCCACTCTCCTGGTCCCAGCGTGGACGTCTCTCCGTGCAGACTCCTGGCTTCTCACTCGAAGTTTCCTGCCCCTGGCTGCACATAGCCTCACGCCCCCCTTAGATCTCCAGGGGGAAGCTGGTTTGCCAGAATGTTCATGAAACATGAGCGAGAGGACTTTTTTTTTTTTTTTTTGGTAAAAGAGAAATTAGTGTAACAGGATTGTTCAGATCGAGTGCAGTATTTCTGAAATTCGAGATGTGACTCGTGTGTTTTCTTGTCAATGGGGCATCTTGAAACGTCACTCCTGCTGCTACCAATTAATTCATAATTTTCCCATTCCCCGATTAAGTTGCTTGGTGTCAGCAGATTCGGGTTTTGTGAAGTCACGTAGCTTTGCTCTCAGGAGGAAGATGTGCAAACGTGATCAAGCAGCGAAGTCATAACGATGCATGCAAATCAAATAATAAAGCCAAGTGTATCCTCCTTATGAGATTGGGTCATAGGTTCGTGTGTGTATGTGTGTATTGGGGTATGATTAACATTCCATGTTATATTAGTTTCAGGTGTTTTGTATTTGATTTGATATTTATATGTATTGCAAAATGATCACCACAATACGTCTAGTTAATATCTGTCACCACATACAGTTACAAAAATTGTTTTTCTTGTGATGAGCACTTGAAGATCTACTCTCTTAGCAATTTTTATATATGACACTCAGTCTTTTTTTTTTATTATTTATTTATTTGAGAGAGAGAGAGAGAGAATGAGAGACAGAGAGCATGAGAGGGAGGAGGGACAGAGGGAGAAGCAGACTCCCTGCCAAGCAGGGAGCCCGATGCGGGACTCGATCCCGGGACTCCAGGATCATGACCTGAGCCGAAGGCAGTCGCTTAACCGACTGAGCCACCCAGGCGCCCGACACTCAGTCTTATTAACTATAGTCACCATGCTGTACATCACATCCCAAGACCTTTACATTTTATTTTATATCTGGAAGTTTCTGCCTTTTGATCCCCCCTTCCCCCATTATGCCTGCCCCTACCCCCCGACTCTGGCAACCATCAGTCTATCTGTATCTATGACCTCAGTTGTTTTTTCCTTAGATGCCACATATAAGTGAGATCATCCAGTATTTGTCTTTCTCTGTCTGACTTATTTCACTTAGCATAATGCCCTCACGGTTCATCCATTGCTGTCGCAAATGGCAAGATTTCTTCCCTTTTTATGGCTCCGTAGTATTCCATCATGTACATATATCACATTTTCTTATCCGTTCCTCTGTCGATGGACACTTAAGTTATTTCATGTGTTGGCTATTGTAAATAAGGCTACGATGACCATGTGGGCGCAGATCTCTTTTTGAGTTAGTGTTTTAGTTTTCTTTGGATCAGTCCCCAGAAGTGGAATTGCTGGATCAAACAGGAGTCCTATTTTTTCTTTTTTAAAAGATTTTTTATTTTTATTAGAGAGAGTGCAAGCAGGGGGAGCGGCAGGTAGAGGGAGAGGGAGAAGCAGGCCTCCCGCCGAGCCGGGAGCCCGATGTGGGGCTCGATCCCAGGACCCTGGAATCATGACCTGGGCCGAAGGCAGCTGCTTAACCAACTGAGCCACCCAGGCACCCCGGGAGTCCTATTTTTAATTTTTTGAGGAACCGCCATACCATTTCCCACAGTGGCTGCACCAGTTTGCATTCCCTCCAACACTGCATGAGGTTTCCCCTTTGTCCACATCGTCGCCCACACCTGTTGTTTCTTGTGTTGTTGATGGTTGCCATTCAGACAGGAGTGAGGTGATAGCTCATGGTGGTGTGGTCACACATCTTATGTCTTGGAGTTTTGTAAAATAGTATCAAGCTTGGGCGCCTGGGTGGCTCAGTCGGTTGAGCGACTGCCTTCGGCTCAGGTCATGATCCCGGAGTCCCGGGATCGAGTCCCGCATCGGGCTCCCTTCTCGGCGGGAAGTCTGCTTCTCCCTCTGACCCTCCCCCCTCTCATGTGCTCTCTCTCTCATTCCCTCTCTGTCAAATAATAAATAAAAAATCTTAAAAAAAAATAGTATCAAGCTTTTTTGCAAGAAAAATATCAAAACTGCAGGAGTGTGAAATCTGGCCCCGGAATCCACAGCAGTTTGCAGGGGAATAGGGTCCCACAACGGGGCTGCAAGTTTTCATTGGTGTGTCTCACTCATCCACGAGGCTGTGATTTTCTTGAAGGCAGGACTCAGTTATATCAGTCTGTGATCACAGTATCACGTTTAGTTGGCGCTCAATAAGTGTTCATTGGATGAATCAGCCAAAGGAAATGATTGGGAGAAAGTGCTGGAGTTCAGGAACTTTTGGGTGGTTGGAAGTTGAGGACGTCCTAACGATAGTTTTCTTTTCCTTCTTCATCATCTTGGTCAACGTCTTAGCTCAGGCTGCCACAGCGAAATATCACAGACTGGAGGGTTTCAACAACAGAAGTGTGTTTTCTCAGACGGTCACCTTCTCGCTGGGTCCTCACACGGCCTCTCCGTGTGTGCATGAACTCAGAGATCTCTTTCTCTGTCCTCCTGTTCTTATAAGGCCACCAGCTCTGATGGATTAGGGCCCCACCCTGATGACCTCATTAAACTGTAATTACCTCCTAAAGACCCTCTATGCAAATAGAGACACATGATGGTGGGGGGGGAGGGGGACAAGGCTTCAACATACGGATTCTGAAGACACAATTCAATCCATGGCAGACATTTTCCCACCCTCCGTGGCCATGCTTGGAAACTTGCCGGAAGGCAGAGCTGGGAGGGACTTTATAATGCATCCAGCACAGAGAGGGGTGGTCACTTGCCTAGGGCTACACAGCCAGTGGGCACAGAGCCGGGATGACGGGCTCCACTACCCAGGTGGCTCCCAGAGCCCTGGGCTGGGTGCTCTCTGCAGACGTGGGATCGGGGCTGGGGGGGTGGGCAGGTGGATGGGCGCTCACACTATCCTGACGCTGCCCTTGTGTTAGTTACAGGACTCTGATCAGACCCACATACAGAGTGTCCTACCGCACGGTGACGGCGCTGGAATGGAGATGCTGTCCTGGCTTCACCGGGAGCAACTGTGAGGAGGGTGAGTCTGCTGGGGTGTGGGGGGCTGGGGGTCAAGGGCCAAGGACTGGGGCGCAGGGTGCGGGGGGACGGGGCACCGGCTGGGCTGGGCTGTGGAGTCTCTGGGGGTTGCTGCCACCTGCCACGGGCATCTAGGTGGGGACCCTGTGTGCATCGATTGGGTGGAGGAGAATCATGAGTCCTGGCCTGGGGGAGGGGATTCAGTTTACAGCCTCTTTCTTCCGCTCTGGATCGCACTCACCCGGGAATGGGGGCAGGCAGAGAGGGCTCCCGGGGTCTCTGTTCACCAGCCTTGGAGCCACGTCTGTTGTCCAATGAGGCACACGGATCTGGTGGGCAGCGGACTGATTGTCCTGCCCTTCTGTGTGGCTGGAGCCCAGGGGGAGGATGGGAGGACAGGGCCTAGAACTGGGGCCTTCCTTCTGAGCCTCCGGACCCGGTCCCAACCTGCCTCTGGAGCCCGATGGGGCCAGGGAGGGCCCGCAGCAAATCCCAGCTGTGCTCATGGCCAGGGAAAGCAGATCCTGCCAGACCAACAGATTTGCAGCCCATCTCGTTCCCAGGGCTAGCTGGTTGGCCTGGAGGCTCACGGGTCAGGGTTGTATTTGGAAACGGTAATTTTCCATGAAATGGACGTTCTGATCAAATTATTTTCCCTCATCTTTTTTTTATTACCTAACTTACTGACTTTTGTTTTATGGATATGCTTTTATAAATTAGGTGATTATAAAGTTATAATAAGCTATAATATGTTAGGTATATGTTTTTATTGAAAACTGCCTAAAATGCTTTGGGTTGCAAATAATAACAGGATAATTACAGAACAGTACCAATAATGATGATACTTCAGTGGGCCTGTGGCCCAGAGCAGAGCTGAAGGAAGGGGCTGGAATGGAAAAGGGTCCAGTGGTGCCGCCCTTCCTGACTTAGAAGGCGCCTGATCCTGGAAGGCCTTTGCTCAGCACTGGGAAGGCTTTGGGGGCCCTTTTCTCAGCTCCCAGAGCGTCCGAGCTTCCCCCTGACCCCATCCTTGCCTCAGCTGACTATAATCATGGGTTTTCATGTTTGCCCACCCCCCGCCTCCAACTACCACTCGCCACCCTGCCGACTGTTTCTTCTAAGGGTAACTGAGCCCAGCCCGAAGAGGGCCCCTTCCTCCCTCCCCTGGAAACCACTGAGTGCTGAAGCATGGACGGTTTTTCATCTCTCTTCATGTTCTCGTTGTTAAAGGAACAATCCAGTAAACGAAGTGTAAGTCTCAGATGTCTGAGTCGTAAACCTCACGCAGATAAATAAAGGGCACGTTGATCGAACTCATTGAGTGAGTGATTCAAAAGGGGGATTCGAGACACTGAGATAGATGCAGACTGGGGAGCCTAAGACCACCCTTAGGTCTGATAATTCGCTGGAAGAACCCCCCAGAGCCAAAAAGCTATTGTGCTCACGCTTATGGTTTATTACGATGAAAGGTACGGACTCAAATCCTCCAAGGGAAGAAACCCATGAGACAGAGTCCAGGAGGGTTCCACATACACAGAGCTGCCAGGTGTCCCCTCCCAGCTGAGGTGTGGATAGCGATGAACTCCTCTCCTCACATGTAAAACACATTGACGAAAATGTGACCAGACGCTGGCAGGAGCCTTGCCCTGTATCTCCCCCAGGAGCAATGGTTCACTATTTGCTAATTCAGGACCACTGTGACTTTATAGATCACAGCTACCATGAATAAGGAGAGTGAATCGTGTCTAAGTATCTAGAACCATAAGGATGTATCTAGAAATGTTTTCTTCTTATTGCAAAAGTTAAGTCCGTGTTTGGTGTAGAAAAGGTGAAGACAGGCAGAATCACACCTCTCAAGGTTGAGTCTCACTTTGGTGAAAAGCTTCCAGACCTTTTTTTCTGTGCTTTCATACGGTTGTACTATTTTGATAACCTTCTTTTTCAAATAAGTGACCATGAATGTTTCTCCATGTCAATAGATAGCTTTCGGTAGCATTATTTTTAGTGGCTGCAAAATTTGGGTATATACTTTATTAACTAAACCCCTACTGCAAGATATTTAAGTTGCTCCCAAGTTTTAAATTATTGATGACATTCCTCCAGACATCCTTTTTTTTTTCTGACATAAAATTTACATACTCTGAAATGCATCTATCTTAAGTGTACACTTTGATGAGTTTTGATACATGTACACATTTTCTTTTAAAGATTTTATTTATTTATTTGAGAGAGAA